ATGGAAAGATATCCCAAACACAGGAATTTTCTTAGGCTGGAGAGGCAGGAAAAAGAAAATGGCCACACTTCAAAAGTGTATTAAAATATTTCTTGCTCTGATTATCACAAAAAACAAACAGCAGCAGAAACTTGTACACCCATGTTCCAAGAAAGGGGAGACCTCATGGAGTGGCCGTCCCATTCTTCAGGAAGGGTGTGTGATGCCAGGGGCAAAGGGGCCAAGAGCAGCCACTCCAGCAGGGAATTTCAACCCTGGCACGGCCAAGGCTGGCACCAGGAGCCTTCCCAGCTCAGGTGCTCCCTGAGCAGGGAACAGGCCATGAACAACATCATTCACGTGGGCACACAGAAGGAATGGTTTGACTCCAAAGGCATTTTCCCTCAGCACATAAACACTGCAGGAATTTCCCTCGTGTCCCAAAGAGCCTCGCTCTGTGCACAAAGTCCACTCACAGCACTGGTTATTTTCTGCGTGACCATTAGAGGCAAAACAAGAGAGTGCAGTCCACATTCTGAGGTTCAGAGAGGCTCTGCAGCCATGGAAGGAGCTATTTTGGGAGATCTGTGTGGTTGCTAGGGCAAACCACTGCACCATCCACCAAGCGGGATCTGGTTTGTATGCCGGGAGAGGAGGAAGAAGTTGAGATTTCTAAAGAGATGACTAAGCTGGGTAACGTGAGAAACCAAATGAAATGTCAGGCTGTGGAGAAATACAGCTACAGCTTCCACCAGGACTCACTGAGCTCCTACATGGAACACTCCCGGTTGGTCTGAGCCAACAGAGCCTAGACCAGCTTGGAAGAAACTTCCAAAGGTTGTACAAAGCATCCTGCCGCCTCCCCAGGCAGGATTAACTATATCCAAACATACCTGACACAGGGCACACCACCACTGAACCAGAGCATTTGTTAATACAGCTCCCTGGGATCGGTATTCCTGGTCCTTTACACAAAGGAGTCAATGAGGCAGGCAGAAATGCACACCAAGTCTCCTGCAAAATTAGGGAATCGTTCCAGATGCAGAAAAAAACACAAATAACTGATGGATCGATTTTCTAGGAGCTATATATGCATGGAGAGCTTCTCATTTTCAGAATTACTGGAGCCTTGGTTTACATCAACACATCTGGATAGTCTTATGTCGTTTACAAAAGACCGTGACAGTTTTTCTATCCATTTCTATCTATTTTTTGAGCTTTCAGCTCAAAAAATGTCCTTAGAAAGTTAACAGGGCAAAGGCTGTAAAGAGAGGACAAAGTTGTGTGAGGGTTAAACTATGTTCCCTTTACTCCACAGACAGTGAAGAAGGGAAACTCAAATGCATGAGACCAGAGAATATTTGATAAGGATTTAAACTGCTGAGGGGAGACTCAGACAATAATCTGATTTAGGCCTTGCAGTGAAATGAGCAGTGCCTGCTAAGGCTTAGTCAAACTCCAGCACACCCCACTCCTAACAGGCAGTACTCCCAGCTCAGCCTGGCATTACAACTCATTTACAGCTCTTCCCCCCCGTTCTGACTGCTGAAATAAAGAGGTTCAAAAGAATGATGAATATATTTAAGCTCTGCAGAGACCACAAACTCAGTGAAATTCCGAGCCACCAGACCTAGGTATCACTGCTGCAACCCCTGGGAGTGACACTGAGGGCACAGTGACCACCAGGACTGAAGCAGAAACCTCTGCTACAGGTGGTAGCTGGACACCCAGTGTGGGCCACACCTCTGCCACAGTCCCAGGCACGCTCCACAGGCCTCTGGGCAGCAGGGGCTGCACCTCTTTGCTGGAATAACCACAAACCAGGCAGTGTATGGGACACCAACTTGCCCTCTGGGGCCGACACAGCACAGCCCCGGCCCCCTGCCTTTACCAAAGAGTGAGGAGCTCCCAAGCTTCTGCAGTGATCCAAGGATCCAACTGTGGCCCTCCAATGACCAATGCACATGGGTACACACGTGTCAGCAGTTTAAGAAACAGCCTTGTTCGCTTTAGGTCCTGTTAAAGAGTCTAACGCTTCTAAATCACTCAGTTCTGAAAAATGGGGCTTAAATACCACTGAAACCTAAGAACATAAAGAGAAAAACATATGTGCACATGCTCCTAAGAAACCAAACAGCTTTTCAAAACAGAATTTCTCTGACATGCTCCTAAAGAAAGTGGTTTTTATTTAAACCCTGGAGGGCAGGAGAAGGACTTCAGCACATGTCAGTAAGAACTCCCACTCTGCACAGGCGAAAACATTGGCACGAAAGTAAACTAATCACTTCCTAAGCTGCTAAGATGCCATTATAAAGTACAATATGTATGCCCATGTGACACTTGAACATGAACATCTCCAAGTATCACAATGTAAGGGCTTTTTTAAACAACTTCAGGATAGAATTTGGTCACACGATGACACACCTGTACAGAAAAGACTAAAGGGGATGACAGTCTCCCACCTCCTGACAAGTCCTCTGAGTTTTTAAAAAGCACTTGAATCTGACTTGGATCTATGTAAACAAAGATCACGGAAACAACTGTCTGTAGCAGCCTGAGGAAGAGGAATTCTGGTATCATCTTTCACTGTGTAGCTTTGTGAGAGGATGGAAGGGACGGAAAGAGGGAAGCAAAGCACCCACGGTCAGCAACACAGCCCGAGGTGAACAGGTCTCTTTCTTTTGTACCTTGGGCCATCAGGATAATTAGATCCTGTATAACACCCACTGACCCATGTCAGGCAGCACATATAACAGAGATCCAACCTCTCCAAGTTGCACAGAGGAGCTGCTCCATGTTGCAAACTGCATCCTGAGCTTTAGGGACAGATTCTGGCACCGACACTTTGGCAGCACCATCCCGAGCCCGCTGGACAGACCAATGGACAGTGTCACCCCACGCTGGCCAAAGAGCCCCACACTCCTGGAGGTCCAGAGCCATTTGGTGAGCAAGGAGGAACCCCGGAGCCTGAGTTCCAGCTGCCCCACATCACCCAGGGATCCCACGGATCAACCCCAGCTCAGACACCACAAACATCTTTGGAAGAGCCGTGGAGTTGATGGAAAGGTCAGTCTGAGCCGCTGCACTTCTGTTTCTACCCTCCCTCCCCTGAGCTGCAGAGTTTCTAAATTAATCTGGGTCTTTAGGCTTGTCGGCTTTTATTGCCATTTCCTACAGCAAAGCCCGGCTTTCGCACCACAGACTGCACGGCTCAAATCCCCAGACAAGCCCAGTAAGTGCTTTCTGCAATTTGCCTTTGCCCTTACTCATCCAACTGCGCTCCCTTAAGTGTCTCCTAAAAATCTAAGATAGGAAACGGGCTTAGTTTCCTCCTTATCCCCCCCTCTCTGGAACATTTTAATAGGAACACGGCAGCCAGATCCCCCCTGGGAACAGCCTCGCTTTGTAGGGATTGCACTCCACGGGTCACTCTGTGGGGTCAGCCTGGACCCACAGCCCCCTCCCCAAATCCTGACCTCTGCCACTCAGAGCCCTCCTGATATGAGAATGCCAGAGGGCAAGAAATCCTGCCTCTGTGCAACAAGGCATTGTTAAAGGGAAAATTCCTCGGGTTTGGGTTTTTTTCCTAAATCCTTTACAAGGCTAAGAGAATTGGGATTGTTCAGCATGAAGAAGAAAAAGCTTCGGGGTGACCTAATTGCAGGCTCCAGTACCTGAAGGGAGCCCACAAGAAACATGGAAAGAGACTATTTACAAGGGCCTGGAGAGACAGGAAAAGGGGGAATGGCTTCAGACTGACAGAGAGTAGGTTTAGGTTGGATATTAGGAAAAAATTCTTCCCCGTGAGGGTGGTGAGGCCCTGGCACAGGCCCTGGCACAGGCCCTGGTCCAGAGAAGCTGTGGCTGTGGCTGCCCTGGAAGTGTTCCATGCCAGGTTGGACAGATCATGGACACCTAAAGACAGACCACCACAGCCACAGGATGGATGGGGACAACACTGGACGAGGCACTCAGTGTTCTGTGGGGATCAGGTACAGGTTGGACTCAATCTCAGAGGTCTTTCCCAACCTAAACGACTCTGGGATTCTGTGAAAAAGCATGATGATGACTCTGCTGTGGCCTCCCCTGACCCCCCTCCTGTCCCCTCCCCTCGCAGGCCGTAGGCACGTTGCCAACGCGCTGCACCACACGAACTCACACAAAGAAAAGAACAAAAACCTTTCTCCTGCTGGCTCTGGAGGAGGAGGGAAAGGAGGGGAATCCAGGGATCAGTCTGTCACTCTGTGCTTGTGGGTGCTGCTGCCACAGAGCACCGGGAAGCTTCACACTCCATCTGTGCGGTGAGCGGGAAGTGCGAGAGCACAGGATGGAGGAGCAGCCCCTGCCTGGAACTCCACAGTGCCACGAGCAAGGAGAAGCAGCAAAACAACATCCACGAGTCGTCTCCCACGAGCAGTTTTTCCAAGGTAACATAACACCCCTGGACATGCTTCCAGACCAGCGGAAAAAGACACAGGGCACACCTCATCATCACCTGCCTGGAAGTGCTGTGCTCCTGGCAGGGACAAGCTCAGAGCACAGCAACCCACACCATCCTGCCCACAAGCAGGGGTCTGGGACCATCATCCCGTGCTGTGACAGCCAAGGTCACTGTTTTCCCTGGGAGGGGAAACCTTTCAAGTAGCTCCACTGCTGGAAATACAGTGTTGCCAAGCTTCAGGCATCAAAACCCTGAGGTCTACTTTACACCTGGGGCTGTCTGAGGGGCTTTTTTAGTGGGTTGGAGTTTTTTCAGTGCTGTTGGGTCCATGTGACAAACTTTAAGCATGTGAGGCTCAAATCCTCATAATTAAAGAGGCAGAGAAAAGGGAAGGGGGGTAACGTGTGGCGGGACACACGTGGCATCGTAACAGACATCCACACATTTAAACTATAAAACCTAAGAGGTGGGACAGCACAGAAGTTCTTGTCCCAGAAGTAGCAAAGCTGGTTGAAAATAAAAAAATAAAATGAAAGAATGGATTTTTAAAAGCATGATCTGATATGTCATTCATGCTTACCTTGGCAAGGTCTCTTGTTTTCCAAAGGTCTGACAGCTTCTAGGTGAACGCAGCAGCTCCGGAAGGAGAGTTTGACAGCACAGTCTGCAGAGGGATCCCTGGAAAGCAGAAGGTCTGAGTTTTCCCTCTGTGCAGTCCCATCGACAACAGACTTCAGCCTTCACAGTTCCTCCAGTTGGTTTCTCCTCAGCAGAAGGGTCTGGAGAGGAGTCCTGGGGCGGCCGTGGAACACACGAGGAGCCTCCCCGGGGAGCTGCACTGCACAGAGAGCAAACACAGGGCTGACACCACAGAGCAGCAGCTTCCCTGGGTTTATGCAACGTTTATGACTCCTGTTCAATTATGAAGGAGAGCTTACCATGGAAACTGCAAGGAGCTGGTTTGTTTAAGATACAGAGCCCTCGTTTTAAGTGAGAGCTGTTCAAAGGCAAACACCCAAACTGCACTCAAGGCTTTGCATTTCCACCCGGCCCCCAGAAGACTTGGAGGCTACAAAACAAAGGCATTTGGAATTGTTCCTCCCTAAAGCTAAGGAGCCAGGTGAAAGGAAGGAACGGATCCATTCCTTCATGCAGCCATTGTAGGGTTTGGAGGTTGGGAAATGCCGTTTTCCATGAGGCCCCCAAGACTGCAGTGGCTCAGCAGGGCTGCCAGCCCACATCAGCTCCCGAACTGCGGAGCCGCAGGGACCGGTCCCAGTCCTGCACGGCCCACAGTCAGCAAGTGACCCAGTAATCCAATTAGGCAGCAACATGGGCTGTCTGAAGATATAAAACAAAAGGAAACAGCGAAGGGAAAAGGAAATTATGCCTAAAGCAGAGCGTATCCTCATTACTCCCCTCATCTCTAGCTGCAAGCTCAGTGTCTGGGAGATGGGGACAACACGCTACAGAAAGCCCAGCCTGGAATCATCATCAAGCACCAGGGCTGCTCTCTGACTGTATGGAAGCCCAGGCAATGAAGAGACAGTCCTTCCTAACCAGCCTGGTCAGAAGAGCTTGGCATGATGACTCCAACCTGTTCCAGCTACTTAAGGTGCTTCCCTGGCTTCTGTCATACGACACTCAGCCACTGCCAGGTATTCTGAGGAGTGTGTCACCCAGAAACCATAAGGCTGCAAAGGGACCAGGGGAGGGACTCAGTGATCCTCAAGAGCCCCTTCCAACTCCAGATATCCTGTGATTCCATGATCATTTCTTCTGAACATGGCCCAGGCTGCTCCTCTGGGCCCTCCCTCAAGGTGTCCAGCTCCAAAGAGTATCCCATGGATGCCCCACATCCAACACTAACGTGAACAAGTTCAGGAGAAACCACCCATTCAGCTTCAAGGGTCAGAACCTCTAGGAGGAGAAGGGAAGCACACTTTTGCACTGTGAAAAAACACCACAATCCCAAAAAGGGGATTTCTGGGTAAAACAGGTGTTTAAGCTGCCCGTGGTTTTCCCGCATCTAAGAAATGAGCACAGCCAACATGCTAAAAACACATTTTAGGTAACTTTCTAGCTGAACTCTGGTTTCTGAGGAGACAGAAGATAACTACAGGTTCAAACTCAGAGCAAGAGATAGATTTGTTTGTGGGAGTAAAAGCTCAAAAGCACAAAACCTTTCGCCTCAGCTCCCATGCTGGAGGCTCAAACAGCATCATCTGGGTGCTGGGAAAACAACAAAATGAAAGGAAAAACACCTTATAAGTGCCATTGCTCTGGAAAATTAGAATTTTTAATAGGAAAGTAAGCATAAGGCTTGTTTTATATGATGATAACTATCAGCATGTCAGGAGTTTTTATGGTTTCTCCATTATCATAACAAAAGCATCTTGCTCAAACTGCAGGAGTTAAAAATGCAGAACATCCTGACTTCCTAAAGATAATTCTGCAAACAAGGAATGATGAGGATGCACTTCTACCACTGATTTCTTTTATTCAAAACTTTCTCAGCACTTTCAGTCTGCAGAGAGATCCAGATATTTTATCAAGATGGACCTGCAACCCAAGATCCAAGTTTGAAAGCAAGATAGGTTGAGGAGCTGAGCATCCATCTCTTGCTTAGAAAAACCCTTCTCCTGATTATTATCCTAAAGGGATTGCTTTGGCTCTGTACCTTGTGACACAAATAAAGAGGAGGCACCGTTTGCCGTGCTACCAACACCTGTCTGAGTGTGGCCAGCAGCTCCACAGGTCCAGGGAGCCACCAATTCCTCAGCAAACACAACATTTTTGTACCCTCTCCACGGACAATTAGCAACAGAAGCCTGAAACGTCAAAACCCAACTCTTAATTACCGAAGTCAGCACTTAATGACTCCAATTACATTTCCACTGATTTCTGAAAATTGGATTCTTCACCACACTTGCCGTGTTTAAATGAGTTTTTTACCTCATCCATGGTAATTATACTCTGACAAACCAAATTAAAATACAGCAGAGATTTCTAAAATCCTACTTGAAAATAGTGGGGATTTAAGGACAAAAAAATTTCTTAAGCCCCCTGCCTTCCACATTTTTTAACGCATTCCTTTCAGGGCCCAGCAGTGCAGAGGGTTAAAAGATGAGATATGCAAAGGACAGTTATGTTGTTAA